ATTCCATTGTGTACACACATATACACTACATCTTCTTTATCCATTCATCCACTGATGGACATTTAGGTTGATTCTACATCTTGGCTATTATAAATGATGCTGCAAAGAACACAGGGGTGCATATACCTTTTTGAATTTGTGTTTTTGTCTTCTTCATACATATACCCAGAAGTGGAATTACAGGATTGTATGGTAGTTCTATTTTTAGATTTTTGAGCCATCTTGGCACTGTTATCCACAGTAGCTACATAATTTACATTCCCACCAACAATCTCACCAACAACTCTACAGCCTTGCCAATACTTGTTAACTTTTGTCTTTTTGATAATAGTCATTCTTATAGGCGTGAGGTAATATCTCATTGTGGTTTTGGCTTGCATTTCCCTGATGATTAGTGATATTGAGCATCTTTTCATTGGCCTTCTGTATATCTTCTTTAGAAAAATGTCTATTCAGATCCTCTGCTCATTTTTTAAATCAGATTGCTTGCTTTTTTTGTTACTGACCTATATGAGTTCTTTATATGTTCTGGATATTAACCCTTTATCTGATATGTGATTGCAAATATCTTCTCCCACTCAATAGGTTCCTTTTTTATTTCGTTGATGGTTTATATCCCTGTGCAGAAAGAAGCCTTTCAGTTTGGTGGATTCCCATTTGTTTATTTTTGCTTTTGTAGCTGTTGCTTCTGGAGTCAGATCCCCAAAATATCACTAAGACTGACGCCAAGGAGCTTATCACCTTTATTTTCTTCTAGTTTTATGGTATGTGGTCTTACATCTTCCATTTTCTTCTTGAAAAAAATTTTTTTGAAAGATTTTTATTTATTTGAGAGAGAGAGAGAGAAAGAGAGAGACAGAAAGCGAGCACGAGTGGTGGTAGGAGCAGAGGGAAAGGGAGAAGCAGATTCTCCTGCTGAGCTGGGAGCCTGATGCGGTACTCAATCCCAGGGCACTGGGATCATGACCTGAGGCGAAGGCAGACATTTAACTGACTAAGCCACTCAGGTGCCCCTCTTACAAAATTTTTATGGCTTAATTTTTCACATTTAAATGTTTGCTCCATTTGAAGACCATCCTAATGTAAAGTATAAGCTATGGATTCAACTTTACCTTTTTCCAGATGGTTCCCCAGAAATGTCAACATCAATTATTGAATAAACTAAATTTCACCACTGGTTTGAGATGCAGTCTTTGTAATACACTAATTCCCATTTGTTCAACAAATCCTCAGTACTTCCTAAGTGACAATCATGGTGCTTGAGATATACAAGTGGGGAAAGAAAAAGACTAACATTCCCCACCCTTATGAAACTTATATTCTAGCAGTGGAAAGTAAACAAAAAATATGATAACTGGGTAAATTATACATTATGTTAGAAGATAAAAGAAGAGTAGAGTAAGAGGTTCTGACAATGTGAGGGGTGAGGCATTGCAATTTTACATAGGGTGGTCAGGAAAGATGTTACTAGAGAGGTGACATTTGATAAAAGACTTGCAAAGTTAGCAGTACAAGGGCCCTAAGGCAACAGTGTGTGTGGTGTGTTCAAGGAAGAAGAATGTAGCCACTGTGGTTAGAGTGGAAGGAGCAAGGGGTAGAAAAGTAAATGATTAAGTTAGAGCGGTAACAGGCCCAGATTCCGTAAGACTGTTTAGGCCATCATAAAGACTTTGATTTTTAATCTGACTGAAATGGGAGCCATGCATTTTGAGCAGAGCAGTGACATGATCTGATTCACCATTACCCTGCCACTTCCTGGGCTACATCTTTTTGAAATCACCTTTTTTTCCCCCTTTGTCTTTACCACTCTTGCTAATCTCTGCAGTTTTCAAAGCAAAGCCCTCAAATCTACCTACTTTTCTTCACCTTTTAGTTTTAAGCTGTTATTTTCTATCATATACAATATGGCAGTAGCTTCCTAAGTGGATTTCTCCTCCTTCCTTTCTTGCTGCTCACAAATTCACTTGTCATATACCACACACCTGGGTGATTTTTCTTTAAAGATTTAATTTACTTATTTGAGAGAGAGAGCAGGAGGGAGAGGGAGAGAGAATCTGAAGGAGACTCCAGGCTGAGCACAGAGCCCAATGAAGGCCTTGATCCCACGAACGCAAGATCATGACCTGAGCCAGAACCAAGAGTCGGGCACTTAATCAAGTGAGTCACATAGGCACGCCACACCTGGGTGACTTTTATTTATTTATTTTTTTACAATATTCTATTTATTTATTTGACAGAGGGAGAGATCACAAGTAGGCAGAGAGGCAGGCAGAGAGAGAGGAGGAAGCAGGCTCCCCGCTGAGCAGAGAGCCTGATGTGGGGCTTGATCCCAGGAGCCTGAGATCATGACCTGAGCCGAAGGCAGAGGCTTAACCCACTGAGCCCCCCAGGTGCCCCCCTGAGTGACTTTTAAAGTAGAATTCAGTTAATTATTATTTTACTATCCTGTTTACCTCTCTTCCAAGGCTTTCTAGTGCATTTGGAATAAAATCGAAGCTTTTCTTCAGGGCCACAAAGCCCTGTGTACGTAGGCCCTGCATTCTTCCCCAAGTTTATCTCAAGTCACTCTCTCCCTCCCTTCATTTCAACAATGGTGGCCTTTTAACTTCTTAAATATATCCATGGTTTTTACACGTTTATCATATGCCTAAAATGCTTTTTTTCCTCTTAGTTTTTATAACTTTTATATATCCTTCATATCTCACCTTAAATTTCACTTCCTTAGAGAGTACCTTCTTTGATTCCCTAATGTACATTTACAGCACCTTATTCTTATTTTGTATAATAAACATCTCAATTTGCAATTTTTACTTTATTTGCTGAGTGACTGTTTCTGTTACACTATAAGAAACTTGGATTTAGGATTATCTATTCTGCCTACTGGTGTATATCTGATGCCAAGCACAATTTCTGGCACATTGTAGCTGCTCAAAAACAAACAAACAAACAAACAAACAAACAAAACTTGTTGAATGAACCATCTTCTTTCTTAACATAATAAGGGGTTCTGGAGAATTAAAACCCCTTGGGCTAGAATGCCAAGAAGCAGATATATCACTTCAGTTCTTGATGTCTTTCTAGTTCTGTCTGTGGGGAGCCTTATAAATAAGAAAGACTATGGACTCTGAAAAACAATCTGAGGGGTTTGAAGCAGCAGGGGGTGGGAGATTGGGGGAACCAGGTGGTGGGTATTAGAGAGGGCACGGATTGCATGGAGCACTGGGTGTGGTGCAAAAACAAGGAATACTGTTATGCTGAAAACAAAACAAAACAAAAGAAAATAAAACAAAAAAAAAACCTGAGGGTTGCTGCGGGAAGGGGGCTCAGGAGAGGGGGGGTAGGGTTGTGGACACTGGGGAGGGTATGTGCTATGGTGAGTGCTGTTTAGTGTGTAAACCTGGCGATTCATAGACCTGTACCCCTGGGGATAAAAATACATTATATGTTTATAAAAAAATAAAAAATAAAAATAAGAATAAATGAGGAAAAAAAAGAGTAAACTGAATAATTCTATTCCCCGCAACCCAAGGATCCCAAAGCAGTAACTTTTCAAGTAAATGTTCAATTCTGGCTAATAGTCTTATTGTCCCTGCTCTTGTATGAGTCTCATTTCCTGTCTGCAACGGTCCTGTCTTTTTTTTTTTTTTAATATTTTACTTATTTATTTGGCAAAGAGACAGCAAGAGAGGGAGCTCAAGCAGGGGAAGTGGGAGAGGGAGAAGCAGGCTTCCCGGCTGGGCAGGAAGCCTGATGCGGGGCTCGATCCCAGGACCCTGGGATCATGACCTGAGCTGAAGGCAGATGCTTAACAACTGAGCCATCCAGGTGCCCTGGCCCTGTCTTATTTAATCTTCAAATCTAACCAATATCAGCACAAATTCAAACTCCATCTTCTTTAGGAAGTCTACCCTTATCCTTCTAGTTGCAATCAGATTTCTCCTTTCTCTGAGTACCTCTTTTATTTGTTGTATTTTCCATTCTTAGTAGCACCCAACATTATACTTTTTTGAATGTTGTGTGATTTAGGTGTGTAAATACCTCCTCTGACGAGTTTATTGGCTACCAACATAAATGTTTATTTCATATAATTTGGAACAATAGAAGTCCTCCTATCTAAAGCAACTGATATTGGTATCTGGTGTATTAAGCTAAAAAGCTGGTTAAACTTGAGATCCATAGAAGGCATCTTAAACATTTAAATTTGAAATATATAATTGTACATTTATGTGCTCATCTTTTGATGTGAAACTGAGCCTTTTCTGAGAGTGATTTTAATGATTAAGTGTCCATACCCATAATGCATCAATCAGTTTCTGTTTCAGTAAAATGCAACAAGTGACACTTCGGAAATTATATAGGTGTAGAATCCTCTAAGATTTTTATGATTTTCCCTCAGTGTGTCACAGTTTGTTTACACATAATGTGATAGTAATTTTAAAAAAAAGTGACGGACATTTATAAGGTCTTTCCAAAGCATTCAACTACTTTTCACAGAAACAACTCCTTGTCATAATTATACCTCATCAGCTTACATAATACTTAAATTATAGAACAGTAATAAGAGGCTTCAACAGGTTTTGCAAGAGGTACAACAGATTCTTGATAAACATTAGCTCCTGGCAGATGTCCTCAGGCATATTTAATAATGCCATTAGCTCCAAGCAGTCATTGTGACCTGGGCATCATTGATTGTTTACAGAGAGAATGCGTGTGTTAAGTCTGGTGAGTTGTTTAAGTGATGGGTGATTAAAAGATAGTCTATAGTTTCTTTTGCTTCTTTTATAATACCTAGCAGAGACCTGAGCTCATGATCTGCTAAAAATGCTGGGAGGATAGAAGAGCTATAAAGGGTATATAAGGTGAATGAGAACCATCCTATAGAAATTATCATCTGTCCCAAGAGTCTGAAGTGCTCTGGATTCACTTCTGAAAATTGAAAAATAAAAGTGCCCATATTCTCAGAACTATAACAGCAGTTCAGAGAGTAAAACTGAACTTACCTGAGACCTGACTATCTGTGATCCATTACTCATTTCTTTCTCCTCCATGTTCCCCCCTTGGGAAAGTATAGCATTGTGAGAGGGCATAACTGGGAAAAAGAAAAAAGGAGCATCTGGTAAATATATATTAATGCTGAAACTAACTCTTGCAATTTTTGTTTCTTGTCAGAATGGCAGACAGTTTAGAGAGAAGCCTTCTAAGACATAAGCTCAAAGTCTGGATAACTTATTGAGGAATTCAATGTAGGACTTTCTCTTATTGTGGCATATGAGAAGCTCAAGAAAGCTCAGTGGTGCTTCGCCCTGACTACACACCTGGGGGATTTTTAAAAAATGCTAGTGCTCATCCCCTATTCCCAGAGATTTGCTTTTTGTTTTTGTTTTTAAATTTAAATTCTAGTTAGTTAACATATAGAGAAATATTTGTTTCAGGAGTGGAAATAAGTGATTCATCACTTACATACAACACCCAGTGTTCATTGTAACAAGTGCCCTCCTTAATACCCATTACCTCTCTAGCCCAGAGATTTGGGTAAATCGGGTATTATCCAAATTGGTCTAGGATGGGCCTGGGAAACAGCATTTTAAATTCTAAAGTCTCTAAATGATTCTAAGTAGGAGATGAGACCAATGAGATGAGTTGATACAGAAAACATATGTTGAGGGCCTAATCTTTAATTCTTTAAGGGGATAAATTCATCCCCAAACTCAAACTCCAGAGATTTCTCCTTTACTCTTTCTAAGATGTTCTAATAATATACAAAGGAGAATTCACTCTTCTCATTTTTCAGAATGTTCACCTCTTTTTTGAGTACCTAGATTCAGTCCTCCACCAGGATTACTACACCTCTCTGCAGTTCTTAGGTTGTAATGTCATCAAAGCTTTGCTCTCTTCTAGGACAGTCAGTAGATACACTAGTACTAATAGCTTCAGGGTCCTTGTCATTCCCTGAAAGCTGATTTTCCAGAACCTTATGGAGATAATAAAGGTGCCTCATCTCTGATGAGAGCCTCAGAAGCCAATGGTTACCCACAAGATTGATTGCTGCTTCTCAGGGGCAGCCACTCTCAGAATCTTGCTTTGTTCATGCAAGAGAGATGTGGGCGCTCCTGAAGATGGCTATTACTTTTTCTTCCCCTAACGGCATCAATCCTTCATGTACAGACTTTACTATGATATTCAAATCTCTCTCACCAGGGATCTTGTAAGATACAATATCAGATTGAGAACCTGTAATGAGATGCACCAGTCAACAAAAGAAATCCAGCAGCCTCAGTCACCTAGGGACCTAGAGAATCTGTAAAGAAACATATAAACTACCCGTTCATAAAGACAGGGCACACTACAGTGTGGAGTTCTTTAAAAACAATCAAAAAGCATTTTTAGAATTTCTCAAATTCACACATTACAAAAAGCAGAGATGTACAGATCAGCCACAACAAACTTTGGCCTCAGTTCTTATCCACCCTCTTCTCAGAAAACATGTAGTCCTTGCATGGTGAAAGATTTTCAGAAAGACTTTTACTAACATTAACAACAGAGTAAAATGTATTGAACTGCTAATAAACATGGAACAATACATTCTTTTCTGTGCACAAAACTGAGCCTGAAAAAGTTCTCTCAAAAGTTAGTAATGGAACTGAAGAATGAAGTCATTCTTGAGAAGCAATTTTTTTAAAATGAGAAAATCACAGTTCCAGTGGAATAGTCCTATTAGATGAGGAAGCCATTCACTGCTCAAGATATGGCATGAATCCACAATTTTACAAACAGTTGAGTAAGGGGAAGACCTTTCAGGAGTAATTTAAAAGCACTTCAAGAAGCAGGTCCTATTTCACTAAGGAAAAGCGCTAAAAAGGTCCTACTCTCCGAAGAGCCAGACTGAATCTATGTGAATACTCTGACATTTGAAACGTCAGATTACTGCAAAACCACCTATTTACAACAACCAAAAAACAAAACAAAACTGCATTTACCAAGTTAGGGAGAACAGGGTTTCTCCTTCATATGTGTGAGCCCAAGGAGATGAGGAGCATATCAAATATATTGTATATTCCATGGAAATTTTGTTATTCGAGAATTTTTTATGGCATCTGATGAGACTAGGGCTCCAGAGAACATACCTTTGGAAACACTGATTTAGTTCTCAGTTTTTTGATTTAATGAAGGATTCTGAAACTGAAGATCTGGTTCACAGCCCTAGATTCCTTCTAGTATTCTCTGAAGTTCTTTTTAGTACTCATTCTCTATGATTCCTTCTCAGTACTTGTTCTCTACCATTTTAAAATCTGATTCCCCTTTTCTCATCATTTCCCTTTTAATTCCTGTATTGGAAAGATACACACACAAAACTCCTAGAAACCAACCACTTCCCACCCCCAAACTGTGTGCAATTTTTCATACAATACACACATAGACTTTTCCAGAGAAGCCTGTGGGATTACCACAGGCTTTTTTCAAATAACTAACCATGATGGCTTGGAAAGTAACAATTCCCTTGATTGCCTAAGGAATACCAGAATTATCAATTCAGATGAAGAATGACTTTGGGCTTAACACGCTTTTTCCTCCAAGCTCTTCCAAAAATCTAAGTGAACTTTATCAACCATGTGGAAAACTCACGTAGTAGTTCTCAATCTGGGCCATGCATTAGACTCAACCCAGATTTTAAGTTACACATACATAAACGTATACATGTCCAGGCTCCACCCAAGAGATACTAAACCAGAATCTGTTGAGGTGAAGTCTGGCCTCTACACATTTTTTTAAGTGCCTCACAAATGATTCTGATGCAAGCAGGGATTCAGAACAACTATTAGAGCCTCTCATTTCCTTAATTTCTTCAATGCCAATGATTTTCATCTTCATTCTACTTCAGGCACCTACTTCTAGGACCACAGCACTTTTGAAGTCTTTCTTACCTTATAAAACACTACACTATGAATCAGGAGACCTTAGGTTCTGGATTGGATGGATGGGTAAGGAAGTGAAGGCAGGAGTGGCTCAATGTAAGGGAAAAATAGGAAAAAGCAGTGTTTATCAAAGTGTGGTCTGAAGAACACTTGAATCATACCATTTGCTGAAAAGCGGATTCACTGGTCTTATCCCAGACATTATGAAATAGCATCTCTCGGGAGGAGGTTATTCTTGGTCCATGGATTGCATTAAAAAGTATTTCTTCCCTGGAATCAGACCATTCTCTCCAGCCTCCTACAGACCTGAATCTAGTACATAACTTCTCATTCTTCTATCTTCATCTTTATCTGTTGTTTTTATTGACTCCTTCCTGCCATAATTTAAAACCTTTTACTATATGTCCCAACATTAAACTTTCACTGGTTATGTGCCCATTTCTAACTACCATTCATTCTTTTTTCAAAGCTACAACCCTTCCAAGGATTGTCAATACTTGTCTCTACTTCTCCATTACTGACTTATTTTTCGATTATCTGTGACCTTTCTTCTGTTCTGGCATCAGCACAGCACTGAAACTGCTCTGGGTCGGAATACCAAAACCCCTTATGTTCAAGCACCGGAGTTCATCGCTTTCCGGGCTCTGATGAGTATGTGACAGTGCTGACAACTGTGCCTCACGTCCGGTCTTTCTCAGTGAGCTGCGCTAGTCCCTTTTCCTCTGCTTACCGTTTACATGTTACTGTTCCTTAGGATTTTCCAGTGTCTACTTTTGTTCCCTCCACAGGTGAGGTAAAGTCATCTTTACTTGTAAAGTATACAAACCTGATCACATCAGTACCTCACTTTGAAATTCTTTAGTACCTCCCTACAGTTCTTAGGTTGGAGGATAAAGCTATAAAAAATCTTATGACCTTCTCCCTGACTTCTCAAGCCACTCTCCTGCTTGTTTTTGAGGATTCATTTACACTGTTCTGCTTTTAAGTCCTTAAGTGTGCCATGTATGGTATATCTCCCCTGCCCCTCCTCTCCAGACAACACCTACTCTTCCTTCAGATCTCAGCTTAAATCAAGGAAGATTTTTATATCACAGACCAAGTGGGGTTCCTCATTTACACCTTTCTGTTTTTGCTAGCACTTTCTTATTATTGTAATTATTTGTATAGTTATTTTTATTTATACCTCACCCTTGTGTGATGTTAGCTTCCATGAAGGCAGGAACCTATTCTGTCTTATTTATTATTCTACTTTGAATGCTCTCTGTATGTGGCTCAAAGTAGGTACTCAATAATATTTGCTAAGTGAGTAAATGAAAGGATTCTGGTGTTTTCTATTTTTTAATTTTTAATTTTGAACCAATTTTAGACTTACAGTAAAGTTGCAAAAGCAGGACACAATTCCCACATACCATTCACCCTACTTGTCCTAATGTTAATGTTTTATATGACCAGGGTACAATGATCAAAACCAGGAATTTAAATTGGCACAATACTATTAAATCAAGCTAATCAAAATTTACTGGTTTCTCCACTAATATTTTTTCTCTGATCCAGGATCTCATATGGCATTTAGTTGCTTTTTTCCCCCTTTATCTTCTCCAATCTGTAAGTTCCTCAGCCTTTCTGTCTTTCATGAGCTTACTATGAAGAATACTGAGGAGTTATTTTGTAGGGTCCCTTGATTTGGTTTGTCTGTTTTCTCATGATTGGAAAGAAGTTAAGTATTTTTGGGAGGAATATCACAGAAGTGATTTTATCTCTTTCTTAGTGCATGATATTAATGGGTTTATGATGCTGATATGCCTCATTAATGATAATGTTAACCTTTATCACTAGGTTAAGGTGGCGTTTACCCCACTAATCCATTGTGAAGCTACTATCTTTCCCTTTGTAGCTAATAAATATCTTTGGGGAAATACTTGAAGATTATACAAATATCTGGATTTTTCTCAAACCCACTAATTTTATTTTTTTTATTTTTTCCCCACTAATTTTATTTTTATAGCTTGCCTTAAGTTTTATTTATTTAAAAATTTCTTAAGTTAACATATAGTGCAATATTGGTTTCTGGAGTAGGATTCAGTGATCATTACTTACATACAACACCCAGTGCTCCTCACATTAACTGCCCTTTTTAATACTCATCCCCCACCTAGCCCATCCCCCACCCACAT